AAAATGTAATACAATAGCTAAGTAATGATGGTCATAGATTACTATACCATTCATAATTATTCAACTAACATTTGTTACTGTACTATGATTTTAAAAGTTAAGTACCTAAGTGTTTCATATATTGTTGTTAACAGAAACAATACTTTATTAGAATAATTGACTGCTTTTGTTGTATTGGTTGTAATTATATGTACATATTCCAAATTTAAATTAGTGAGATAACATTCAACGAACTATCTTCAACTATTCTTAAATTGATATTATGCCAGAACGTTGTCTCAATACTCGAAATTTAGAATACATACAATTATAACTAATATATAACAAAACAATTATATTAGTAACAATTATGTTAACAACAGATAGTAATGGACCTTCATTTAATAAAATCAGAGTAAAAAAATATATATATGTTGTTTAAATAATTATAAGAAATAATGTACATATACTTTGATCTAGATATCAAATATTTTAACAACGAATATCAAGAAAAATTCAATATCTTTTTCTATATATTTAACATAAATTCTGTATTTTTCAGGAATCCTAAATGTATCATTATGATTGACAAAATACAATAGTTTTCTACTTTTTCTCCAAAGTAAAAAAATCTGTTTCTCTTTTATTTCTATATAAGACGCGTTACAATCCTGAATTTTTTAAAATAATAAGCAATGTCCGCAAATTTTTAATTAAATAATTATTATAAAAAATTTAGAAATAATCCAGATTAAATGTCAAATAATAATAATATTATGTATAACACTATCTGACTCATAAAATTATACTAAATTCCTCATTTTATGTATATTTATATAATATATATACAATGATTCATATTTTTATACATTATTGTATTTTATATTCTTGTGTATGACCTATTGTAATTCATACATATATAATTATATGCAATTATATATGAGATAAATGCGCTTCGCCACAAGACGGATGCTTCTTCTCGTAAAAAAAAACAACGCTCAGGGATCTAATAAAAAAGCGTATGCAAATAAAGTTGCTGACTCTCTTGGAAATTTCCAAACACTTTCAGAGTATTCTTTCTGAATCTTTGAAAGCTGTAACCGTCATGTGTGTTCTCAGATTGTACGAGGTCATCAGAAGTGAAACAACACTAGATGTGAACATAGCTTAGGATGAATGATTGTTTAAAAGTATATCCTGATATTTATTCCCAGTCGTATGTGTATTTTGGAATGCCATTTTACAATTTTTGCAAGTTAACGAGATATTAATTTATAAAAATATCCAAATTTGCCCGGCCCACCCCCAAGTGCAAGCGCGCGACTTATATTTATGGATTTTTGACCATTATGAGTTTAGTTTAGTTAGTTAAAACAGTTTATAGTTAGAATTTAGATTTAGAGGTATATATATGATAGAGTATTCCAGAATAACTGTCAAATGTTTTGTATGCTGATAGAGCGGACTAAATTGAATCGAAAAATCCTTTACTGGTTTGCAATTTTCCGCCGATAGTTATAAAGATATTAATTTCTAAAAATCGCTCAATAATGGTTTTCAATAATTTTTTATTCGAGTATTATTAACTTTATTGAAAAACAGCAAGAGACAAAAATTGTTAATTTGTTTCTCATAGAGTTCTAAGAATTTTTTCAGAACTTTTTATCAACTAAGTACTACATTTTCTTATAAACAATTATTTTCACCAATATGAAAAAATGCGGTATTAAAAACTTGTAAAAAAATTCTTAGAGCTCTGTGGGAAGAAAGTAAAAAAAAATATTTTAATAAAAATTTAATAGAAATCAATATTCGGCGATTTTTAGATTGCATAATCCCGAGTTTTCGAAGATGAGAAACAATATCCAAAAAACTTTAAAAGATTTTCATGAAGTTTCAATGAAAATTAAAATAATTGATACAATCCTGACTTTCCTGTAATAAGAAATAATCCAAATTAAAAAAAACTTTTAATTTAAATGATAATGTGAATTAAATTTCTATTTCAATAGTCAGAGATCTTTTAATAGCTTTCAAGTACGGAATAGTATTATTATACAATTACGTAGATTGAAACGGGCAATAAATTCGCGCGGCAAATATCTACAAACGCGTGAGGGCGTATAAATTCTCGATGCGCAGACGGCCGCAAGTGTCGGTAGCAGATTATGTAATGTGTTGGCGTAATTATACCGGTTTTTTTACACAGATAAGATCTATTAATCACGCCGAGCAATAGTATCTGCTTAGCAGATCGAATAATAAATCCGATATCTAGATCGAACAAAGCGCGTCTCTCAATCGGAGTACAGAGAACTTGATAGAAATTATTAATATTTTTGGACATAAAATGACAAAATATTACGCCTATTAAAATTTATCAGGTATTATGGTATGTATTTGTTGTAATATGGAATAAAATATTTTGGAGAACACTCACTGAGAAAAAAATATCTTAATTTCAAAGAAATGTTTTTCTTCGCTTATATTAAAAAATTATTTCTTTGGATCAATAAAAATTTCTTTAAAGTTAAGACTTTTGTTACTGTAAAAAAATATCTTTTAATTTTAAAGAGATTTTCATTGATCTAAAGAAATAATTTTCTTTAAATACAAGCGAAGAAATATTTCTTTAAAATTAAGATATTTTTTCTCAGTGTGCAGATATTGCGTTCGTAAAAATGGAAGTTATCTTTCGGAAAGTCAGACGTCACGAACGTTACTTTAGAAAGAATTAATTCAAAAATATGCAAAGCAAGCAGACGTTAGCTCTTTTGAACTACTAATAAGAAATTCTGGCGACAAAAGTACTGTGAATGTCAAAAACAAATTTCAGTTGAACGTCATATGGATGACGGTCGGATCTCGTAGCACGGTCCATTTGCAGGCCTCATCTGTCGCGTGTGAATGAGTCCCGTAAATGACGTACGGATATTTATTTGCCGACGACGTTAGCAGTCGCGATTCGAGCGCAAATTCGCGTAATTGCGTGTAAACGCGCGAGCGAGCGATACTTAGCGGGTGTATTGTTAGCGTGACGCGTCGACATACTTGTTTTAGCAAGCGCGAGCGTATTCAAGAAAAATTTTCGTAACTTTCAGAAACAATGTGCAGTTTTTCTACAAGTCTGTACAAAGAAATCCGCGCCTTCTTTTTTATATTTCCCTCGAGAAAATTTACTTTAGAAAAAAAGCAACACTTAAAACTGACTGTAAAGACAACCTTAGAAGTAAATTTAAACACTTTGATACTTATTTAAGAAAAAAGTGATAGGAACAAAGAAACTTAAACATTGTAAAAAGTAACAATTTTGAAGTTTTTCTTTGTAATAATAATTTTAAAAACTATAAATTTGTTTAAATTTCAAGGCAAGCCTTTTTTATTTATAAAAAAGTTCGCCATCAAAAAATTATTTCGTAATTAGACGAATAAAAAATCTTATGACGCTGTACCTTTTGTTTCCTGTATAAATCTTACGAGAAAATGTAGCACCGCCACGTCCCTCTAGTGACGATGTTACGTACTGTGCTTGCAAAAAAACTTTACATTAATTTAGGCTTACTTCAAAATTTAACAACATTTAAAAAATTCCAGCAACAGAAGAAATAATAAAATCTTTAGTTTTTCTAAAATTATTTTAATATCAATCTTAAAATACTTTAAAGTTTTTTTTAAATTACTTGAAATTAATCTTTTGTACACCTTAAATTATCTCAAACAGTTTTAAGTAAACTCTTAATTACCTTTAAAAACCTTAACTATATTTAAAGTAGATTTTCCCAAAGGAGGCATCGTAATAGATAAATATTTGTGTGTATAAAACATATACTTGAAAATATATATTATTTTTTCAATCCATAATAAATTCTCGCTATCGCGAGCAAAAGAAACGCGGGTCGCGCGATCTACCTGAAAGCCATTAGAATGATATCAAATAAGAACGGTCGTTATATGCAAAAAGCTAACTTATCCTTTATTCACTATTTTTGCTGCGTTGCTTTTTGCATCGCGTAACATCATTTACGTAACAATCGTTTTATATCCGAATGAATCCTGATGAGCAAAGGATTCATGAAATCAAATGTTCAAATCAATGTGCAGTGTTCTGAAAGATCTGGACAAGAGTTGGCCGAATAAATATTTTCAAATTTTTATTTTAATCTTCATCAAGTTATTGATACCCTAATTATCTATTACGGTAATTAATAATTATTTCACAATTATTATTTTGATGTTCACTGATAATTTAGAAATATTTGCTTAAGTTGAATAATTTAGTGCGTGTATATTTTTTATAAGTGTAAACATTGTTAACATTGATAATATAACATCATTTTTAATTCTTTTGTATATCGCATTAACAATATTCTAATCTAAATATATGTAGTACCACAAAAAATGTAAATGGCATTTTTTATGTAAATATTTATAAATTTCATGTTTTACATCATAAATAAAGTTTTCGATATAGAAATGTTAGGCGATCGGTGTGTCTTACTTTATAATATGTTTATAATCTATAGAAAATAATAAAAGGAGCGTCTAAGTGTGTGCTACCGACATAATAGAATATCAGTTTTCAATAATTTATAGAATTGATGTAATAAGAATAATTTTGACATTTTGTAATACGTTCATTACGTTGTTTCATTGTTGAAAATGCAAAAATTCTGGTTTTTAAAAATTAAAGTTAAAATTCAATATTTAGATTTTAATTTTTTCCAGATTTTAAATCATTGTGCGACGTATTTTACTAAAAAGCACAATCTGAATAATGGTTATCTATAATTTGATCAAGCAATATTTGGTTTCGTATAATAAAATATCTAGATAGTAGGTAAAAATATAATACAAAAACCATGGATCAAAACTCGAAAATTAATATTACAAAAAATTAAAATTTATTACGATAAAAAGAGAGTTCGACATTTAAAACGCAGTTCGATACCATTTTACTTGTAATCTTCTTTTTAAATTTCAGTGCAAAATAATATCATTCATGGCAAATTAAAAAAACTCACCAATGCCCTCGACGACATAGCGATCTTTGGCGTCCATATTCGTGAGCTCAGTGACGCTCACAACAATTCTGACGCTCATTGTCCTATCCACGTCCAAAAGTCTTGAATCCTGCGAAGGGTCGCAGTGTCAAACATTCGGCGTCTTCTAATCTAATTAGCAGATAATAATAACAATAATGTCATATTAAATCCTCATATGAAAACTATATTAATCTTTTTCAGCGCATTAATAATACGTTATAATTTTTTCATAAACAATATATTGTATTATATCAACTCATCACCCAAACAGCACAGAATATTTATGATAAATATTTATTACTGTTCACATTTTTTAAAATTATATAAATATTTTATATAAAAAGTTTTATTTATATAAAAAAACTTTATTCAAAATATTATTAAAATACAGGTTAAATATTACATAAAATATTTAACCTGTATTTTAATAATATTTTGAATAAAGCTTTTTATATAAAATATTTATATAACACATTTTAAAAAATGTGAACAGTAATAAATATTTATCATAAATATTCTGTGCTGTTTGGGTGATGAGTTGATATAATACAATATATTGTTTATATTTAAGTAAAAAACATTAAAAATGTTTGTATATATTATATACAAACATTTTTAATGTTTTTTACTTGAATTATACATTTTGTAACATTTACAAAAAATATTTCAAAATATTTGTAATAAATATTTATTAAACTTAATATACCTCCCAGGTCAAGAACATAAATATTTATCATCATAAATATTTATGATCTGCGCAATCTAAGACCACACAAATATTTACAAATATTTTGTAAATATTTTATACATTTTATATGTTGTCTAAGCAATTCACTCTATCAATTTATTTGTTAACACATGTTGTATTTTAATAGTCTTAATAATTTACATAGGCTGCATTCAGAAACTTCATTCGAGTGTATCCAGGTATTATTTTATTCTTATTTAACATTCCGTTAATATTTCCGAACAATACTTGAGTAAAGTAGCTGAACGCGGCCTTAAAAAAATTCGAATCGCATGTAAAGAGCATGATTCCACATATAATAGAGGATTATATAATTAAAGATACAATTGGAATGTCACATCCAAAAATAAGTTGAAAATATAAAATTAGATTTTTCCATACATCTTTGTTTTTTCGAGACATGCGGTTATTAAAAAAGTGTCATATTTCGTTTTCTCTCTCTGATACAAATAAATTATCGAAGAATTTACATATGGATGTGTGGAAGTATATGTAGATATTACATATGCAGTAGTATATGTAACAGACTTTGCAAATAGAACAAGTAGAAAAAACTTATCTTTTTTGCATATATTTGCTCGTACATTTCACAGTATATTACAATATGTATTGAAAATATAAAAATATTCCTATCGTTATACAAGTCTAAACAAATCGACTTTTTTTAGAAATAAAATTTTAAACAATAATTTTATATTTCTATACTTTTGTTTCATTTAGATCCTCTATTATCAAATATTATAAAGTTTGTATCAGAAATCATGGATGAACGATTATGATTAATAATAGTACCTGGTTTTATTTCAGTTAATTAATCTCGATACAGCGAATCCATATCATGATAGACAATTTTACTATCAACTTGTCTGACACGAATTTCAGGGATGCTGCAGTGATAAAATTATTAATATTACAGTTGTAAAAAATCTCTAAATTGACTAAACGAAATAAAAAATCTTTTTACAGGATCAAAGTAGACGTAAAATTAGAAGGTGCTGCAGTGGACTTTACATTAAAATCGAAAAAAGATAAATAAAAAAAGTCCTAATTTTACTACTTTAGAAAACGAGCATAGCATATAGCAGACAATGCATTGGTCTGTTATGCCAGAGGTTTCAGGTTCCATCCCAGGTATAGGAACCAACATATTTACGCTCGTGTCTCCTCTTGGAAAAAGCCGGCAACTTTCCGAGAGTACTCTTGCCTGCAGAAACACCACTCGAAAAATCCGTCATCCGGAATCGGTATTAAAACTGTCCCATAATGCATTACAGATCAGAGGTCTAACGTAAAAGAAGAAGAAGAAATATCTACTTTAATTCTATAAAAGAATTTTTCTATAAAAGAAATTGATTCCGCGCGTTCAGTCAATTCGGAGATTTTTATACTGATATTGACTATGACTGTAATATCATAATTTGGTCACTCTAGCATCCCTTAAGAGGTAACACCACTGTAAAATTTTCAAAAACTTAAAAATTTTTTTCTTGCTTAAAAAATCCTTTGGACCTTGGAGAATACGGAGAAAAAGTTTAATTCGTGAAACAAATTTTTTTTCTCGAAATTTCGAGCTCTTTATCGAACGCGTCGGACTGCATCGGAACGACTACCTGCGTCGGTTGGATACCTACTGCGAGGGTACTGCCTAATGACTTACTTGTTGGTTTCAAGCTTTTGTAATACATTAATAGATGTCTTATAGAAGGGCAGCTTTATGGTCCTGGGATTGTAGATTAATATTAAAAATTTTGTAATAGCAGAATTTTCCTTTTTTTTTTATCTATAACATAGCTCAAAACTTTAAACGCGTTTTTCTCGAAACACGTTTTTTCAATGCGGCAAGCAGCATAACTGAAACAGTATTCATTTTTTTCACCCCAACCTTTTACCATACCTTTAAAACAACATTCCGAAGAGAAGTACGTAGCGGATTTACGATAAGTTGAAATTTAGATTTTATATGTACGAATTAGTACCCATTTTTTAGGTCACAAATCGAACTTTATATTCAAATGACCACCAATTAATCAAAAATTAATATTTTCAAAATCCTCTACGTACTTCTCTAGCTATACTCATGTAAATTAAGAAAAAATTTTTTATTTTGTTCCAAATTCATTTTTGCGGCACTTATGCTGCTTGCTGCGGAGCGCCTCGAATAATACCTAACTTGCGGGAATGACTCCTGAGCCGCTATTTTGTAATCTTTTTAAATAAAAAAATTTTTTTGAACACTTCAAAACATGGTTAACAATATCCGTGATTATCATTATCCTCCTTCTTCTCCTTCCACCCCCCAAAAAATTACAAAAACACGCTTCATTTTCGCGCTTTACAGTGGTGTTACGCCTTAAATCCCAATGAAAAATAAGTATACAGTCTTAAGCCGTAAAAAATTTGTTAATCATAGTCAAGTCTGCTCACGTTCGACTGTGATTGGTCAATTTCTTACGGCTTACTACTCCATTGTATGATGTAAGAATATCAAGTGCTTCATTGAATGTGTGTGTATGTGTGACCAATAAAAAATTTACCCTAAATTTGATGGACCGCTATTAGAAATTTGTCAATTTAATGCCAGTCTCAAGTACGGTCGCTATTAGGCGCAATGGATATCGTAATCTTACATTCTTATATTCTTACATCACGCTCTATTGTGGGCATCGCATAAGGCATCAGAATCAAATTCGTTCGCAAGTCCAGAGTCCGCGAGTTCAACACGAACAATAACCAACCTGAGACGTGAAAATCCGGAAATGTCTACTTTGACGAGGAGGAGCGACGTGCAAGAATCGGGAATGCGCATCCGCTTGGGCTGAGAGTCGCGACGAGTCTGCGAAAACAGGCTGCTGGACACTTTCATTAACACAATAAATGAGAACGAAAGTCACGCGCGCGCGCGCGAGACTGAAACTTTAGTAAACGCGAATTCCCGAAGCGCTTCAGCGAAGGTCGTCCGGATGCGATCGCTGATCCAGGAAGACGATGAAACGTGGCTGATGATATCTCGACAGGAAAAGACACTTGCAACGTCCTCCACGAGTAAGACACGAGTATCGCCTTGAGGCGATGGATGTTTTCTTCAAGAACGGTTGATTATCTTTCTCGGCTTTGTCTCCTTCTCACCGGACTATCGTGAATGTTTTCTTAAGTTTCGGTCCTGATCCCTTCAAAACTTTCCAAGCAACTCTCATATAATACATTCATTTTACTCTTTGTGGTACCTTTATTTGAGCTTTCTAGTCTTTTCTTCTGAAACTGGTTTCCAGAGATGTTCGACCCATGTCGATTTTCATTAAAAAGCTGATCAGTTTACCGTCTTGTTATCGAATATCAATTTTTCACTCTTTAATTATATATATATATTTTTTTTTTCAAATTTTTTTCTGTTTCTTTTAACTTTATTATGTATAATGACTATTGTACAATTTATTTTTTTTATACACAGGTTTTTCTTTGTAACGAATTTTTCAATTTTTTTTTACTTTATCGCTGAATTTTTTTTTAATTCGTCCGACTCAATTTCACGTTCGATTTTCCACATTTTTCTTAATCTTTTAAGTAATCTTAATCTTCTCTTCGTTCTTGTTTACTCACGTCTGCATATTTTCCTCGATCCGTTGAATCCTGGCAAATTGATCGATTTATCGGATTATTCAGTCATTTTTCACCCGCTTTATTCTCTTCAAAGGCTTCCGCTCGTTCAACTTGATTGGTGGAACGTTTTGCTTCTCACTTGATTAGTTAGAATCGACATCGGCTGCAGCGGCGGCGACGTCTCGTTACGGGTGTGCAGCGCGTTTTCCGCGGTTCGCGACCTTGACGAGTCTCACCCGACGGTGTTGGTAGCAGCAACAGGTCGACATTACGTAAAGCCAAAGTTGCGACGCTTAATTTGCCGGCTCAGCGTCGCGACACCCCGCGGCGCTTGCACGAACACTACCTCGAGTGTCATTCTTCAGCTAGGAAGGGAAGATAGCCACCGAATTTAGCAGTGGAAGCTTTAAGGCCTATCGCACATGAAATGCATAACTGTGCATAAGCATAACATAAGGCCGCTGGACCAATGAGCATCTTATATTAATCAATATGGCGTCTTTATGCTGGATGTTCATTGGTCCAGCGGCCTTATGTTATGCTTATGCACAGTTATGCATTTCATGTGCGATAGGCCTAAAGCGGGGAGCACAGACTTTTGCATAACGCATAAAGCATGTGCATAAGGAATTTCATTGGCCCATTTTCTTATGCATGAGTCAATAGACCAATCAAATTCTTTATGTATATGGTTTATGCGTTATGCAAAAGTCTGTGCTCCCCACTTAAAGGTTTTGGAAATCAAGAACGATCGATCAAGATGGAAGAAAGAAAGCTGATGGCTGTTTCTACAATTGACCCTTTTTTTTCGAAGAATTTTTTTCTTTTCAAAAAAGAGTCAAGAAAGAAAAGAGATTGTTATTCGCAAAAGACAATGAAAGTATATTGTATATAATATGCATGTCCTTTTTCTTTGACATAAATACGTAATCGACAATACTAATAGTGTTACTTTTTTAAGTTTTAGAACGTTTACAGAAGATTTCCTCGAATCTTTTCATTATCTCTTCATTAATATTTCTCATTTACTGATATTTTTTTCTAAGTATATTTTACGTGGATACACATTTATGAAAATATTCATAGAAAATTTCTTTCTAGCGAGTACAATCTTGTCAAGAATTTTTCTCTCATATATTTTCTTTTATAAATACTGTAGCTGAAAGTGTTTCTCCAAATGTTCTTCCGGCAGATGTCCTTACGAATTAATCTCTCAGATGAACTTTTTCTGTGTAAAATCTATTTTGTAAATCTCAACAATGTCTTTTCCAAAGGGTTTAGTCTCGATTTATTAGAATATCTTTTACAAAGTTTTCTTGATAATTAAATACTTTTTTTTGCGTCTCAGAAGCGAGTCGAAAAATATTGTCTTACTGATACTCTAATTTAGTGTTTCCATATTTGTTTCTCAGACACATTTTCTTCACGTTGTAAATTAACCATCTTCTTTCGCGTCGAATCAATGGCGAATAATCGGCGAAATGATTAATATTCTTTACACACTGATCGTCATATATGACAAATCGTTCTGCTAATAGATTATCATTTCTTGATTATTCTTATATTTACTTGAGATTTAATGAGTAGAAGAAAACACACAACGCACAGCTTGCTTATTTATCGTGAATGGATACTTTTTTATTACGACAATTTCAATCGTTACAATTTTTTCGAAGATACTAAAAGTATCATGAATTGCGTGTAATTAACGCATAATTTTGAATATAATTAAAAATCAAATTTGTTGTTTAAATCATTACTTTATCATTGATCTTTTCTAAATACAATTATTCATTGTATTTCATTAAAAAATTTTTTTAAACTCTTCCACTCTAATTCTTTAATCGCGCATTAATGTTCAATAACTGTGAAATTTCTTTTTTGTGCATGTCATGAATATGTTATCGATTTATTTGTCTTAAATAGCTAAATAAGAAGAGAGACAGACTCAGGAAAAGTAAATACAAGAAAATACGAATCAGATTGAAAGCGGAATTCAAATAAAGCAATGGAATACTCCTAACGATAATTCAAATAATCTCAACGAGTTTATAATTTGTTGAACTCTGAATTTATTTATCGCGAAATCGTGAGGATTGATATGGAGATCGTATACTTATAGGATATATTTATTATGATAGATTGAAGTCATCGAAGCTGTATTGGTTTGGATCTCAAAACTTTAAATGCGACTTTCAGAACCAAAATCGATCGATCGATTGTCCGGAGACAATATTCTAGATCTCCGATGCGGTAAGTATGTATTTTTGCGATCAACCACGTGATATGAAATTACAAGTATGACTGGTCCCGAAGTAGCATGGTAATAATACATGCACCACGTGATTCCGCGAACAATACAATGCGCGTCTTCCTATGATGCAACATCATCGATTAATTTCCGATTTGCTAGTCTTCGAAAATCAAGTGCTTCCTAATTATCTTCTATAACAACTATTATTATATATATGTATATATAAAGCCATACAATCCACAAAATTACTTGTAATGTTCCAGTTGCTACAATTCTTAATAATTAAACTTATATAGACGCTTAAAAGCAAGGAGTTCTAACAAATTAAAATTCTTCAAGATATTTACATTCTCCACAGTATGTAAAACGTTACGCAAGTGAATGAAACTATTTGATCTGTAACATAAATTTGTAGTTGCTGAATACTGCATAAATATTGCCCAGACTATTAATTTGATATTTAATTTATCGATAATAGACAAAAGAAATCTCACAATGTATTCAATTCGTCAAAAAAAGATCACGCGACAATCACAGTCATCTTTCAATTTGTCACATCTGACAATAAAATTTCTGCAGGTCGATCGATTTGAAATTTTCGTAAACATCTTAAAAATTTAAGACTTCAAGATCAATATATTTTGTACGTCTTTAAATTATCCTCCGATTATCTTCCATATAACGAACCATTATCTTGCCCCGCTATCACTGTGAAACATTCCCCGATTTGTGAAAATCCTATTACGATTTTACAATTGGCACAGCCTTTCCGCACGCGACGACAGACGAAAACAAGACGCAAGAACAACACGCTCGGACGACAACCTCGGTCGCGCGGTCAGTGCGTAACGACAAATAAATCGCTACGCTGAAAAAGAGAACGACAATCGACAGGACTCGCTCACTGCACGCGACAAGAATCTCGGGAGAACCTGCGACAACCGCAAATACATCAGACTGGCGAAAAGCCAGTCGTTCGCCGTCGTAACACGGCAGGTGTTGTTGGAGAACCTGAGGTGGGGTAGGTGCGCAATGAGAGCCTAGGTGGGGACTGTATTTGGTCGAAAGTGGGGTGAAAACCTTCACCGAGAGGAGTCGACCTCAGTTGTTATTGCTGCATGCAGCATCTATATGTCACGGATCCTTCATGCGACTCGAGAGAATAGGAGATATTCTTTTCTATATTAGAGATACAGGGAGAGCAAAGAACCCGCAGAGAACCTTGAGAGAAAGTCAAAAAAGAGATTGGAAAAATTGGAATAAATGCAAATTCAAAAATCGAGATGTTTACGCTATGCACATCTCTATCTCTCTCTACATCTTTTAATTTTAAATAAACAAAATAAATAATTTTTATTGCAAAAATATATTGCTTATAAAAATAACAGTACAATATTTCAATCAAATCACGCTGTACATCACAACACATATATATACATACATACACGTGTAAATGTATGCCTATTCTGCTATACGATTTATATACGTCGCATTCCCTTTAAATGTATTACAACCGCATATTTATAGGATTGTAATAACTGAATTCTATCACAAATCATAGCTTGTCTAAAATGAGCTTTATTTAATCGCATTATCATCACTATTATTATTCAGCTTGTATTATTATACGTTCTCATTTCTCTTGTTAATCTCTTGCTACTTAGAAAAAGGAAAAACGATTACGGGAAAATACTACGCCGACTGGCTGGGTCGTTTCGACAAAGAATTAAAGGAAAAACGCCCTCATTTAGACAAGAAAAAAAAAAGTTCTTCCATCACGACAACGCACCGTCCCATATTAATTCGCAATTGCCATCGCAAAATTGATCGAATTACGATACGAATTGCTGCCTCATTCACCATACTCTCCAGATTTGGCATCATGCGATTTTTTTTTGTTACCAAGCCATACTACTTCTTTTTGTTGCGCTATGTAATACATAAATTTTGGAATCAATTTTTGTGCACAGAATATAGGGGATCTGAGGGTGCGGTCCACTATAACGCTACAAATGCATACAAATGCTTCGAAGCTTTTAACTGATCAATCAGAAGAAAAAATTTTACTAATCGACCAATCGAAAAATGCATTGAAGCATTTATAAAATCAAATGGACCGCGGTAGCCTAGTTCTAAAATTATATTATAAATATCTATGATGGAACCCCCCCCCCCCCACGAAAAAAGAAACAAAACACTATATTAGCTATCTCATTTTTAGTATGCTTTCAGAAAAACTGCTTTATAATGGCTTGATCAATAAAACATTCATAAAACTCCTGTTTTTATTCTAGTTTTTATTATATTTACATGTATCCCGGGGATCAACCTCATAAGTGTGACTTTTTTTACCTTAATGTTTAAGGGGATCTCCTACTCGTAAAAACAATTAGTCATATTGGAAATAGCACACACACTACACACAGGATTATGTGTTATTGACACCACTACATCAATAGATGCATTCCGTTTCGCGCATGATGCATCAATTGTTCTTATTTAACATTTGGTGAGCAACAAGAATAAACTGCATTATGCGCATCATGCGGGAAACGGAACGCACCCAATATCTCACTCACGCACGTCATACATATATATAAATTTTTGTATTGCAACTACGTTTTAATTAGACATCTAAATTCAATTTTGATAACTCCACGCTATTTCTTCATGCAATCTACTTGCCCGTCATTTTATGTCAACATATCTCAGACTTTTATAAAGTATAAAAATATCTCGTAAACTATTTGTTTTTTTATATCTGTATCTTTATACTTTTATATGCAGAATTGGTAAAAGATTTATATTATGTAAAAAAATTCATTTAAAAATCCATAATTCCATTTAAAAAAGTGGAGATGACCTTTAATTTATATCTTCTTGGTGCCTCCATATAGACAAAAAACAACGTGAACAAAACACGTCCCCCTCGAAACCGTTCAACTTTCATCTGAAATGTTTTTTCGTATCATCAAAAATAAACGAGTTATTTAGGTGAGCTATTTTAGATGCCTCATTCTGTATACGATTATTCTGTACATATAACATATGTGTGCGTGTTGTGTGTAGAATAATAACAACGTTCTTTAATTCGATGTATATCATATATGCATATCACTGATCCTTGAAACAACTTTGATCTCTGTAAAGATACTCCATACAGAGAAACACAGATATTAAGAATTACGTTTATTTTATTTCTTAAGGAAAGTTGCTTTTCAAGATTACACACGTACATACGCATAAGCAAGAAATATATACGTGCTATCGATTGAAATGGACCGGTAGAGCTTCGAGATTGTATCGCTAAAGGGAATTATCAATAATATGAGAAAATGCCGATCGTTAATCACAAGCTGATAAACGTTACTGTTACTGATATAAAAAGCGATATACCACTAATTATGCCTGCTTTTATTGCGCACTTTGAGATTTAAATGTTTGACAAAATGAAATTATAATCGATGATGTCTTACGTAACAAAAGAATAAAATTAACATCGATAAAATATATAAAACGACAAGAAAATTATGAGTTCATTAAGGAAAAGAACATGAGATAATTAATTAATTCAAATAAATAAAAGAGATATAATAAAATAATTTATAAATTTATAAAATAAGTTATGTAACTACTTTTTTTTTATTTATAAGATATCTGAACCGAATAAGGTCTACTTCATTTATTTTATTTTAAAAAATTCTATTTACGGTGATATTGAAATAAACTAAGTATAAGAATCAAATCTTTATTTGATTCATTCATAAAAATAAAATATATTGTTTATACATTTGTAAATAAACGGAAAAAGAGTTTGACATTAGGTCTTATTACTTATATGTATATGAACATATAATGAAGCTCAAATAAAAAATTAAAAATAATAAAGAAAATAAACATTATCTTTCTAAATCAGAGTTTCAAAATGATTATTATATAATCATAAAAAGGAAATTCCTTAATTAGAGCTTATTTTATTCTCAAATATTACTAATATATTATTAAATATAAATTGTCTAATTTTATCAGTAATTAACTCTTTAATATTTAGAAATTTTTAACAATTTGAATTCAATTTTAATTTCTTAAAAGATAATAGCAGCATTAAAAATCATTATTCTCTGGCGTAAGCCCCACACGTGTCAAACAAATAACAATAAAATCATAATAATAACAATTACATAAATAGACCTTATTTAAGTAAATTGCTTAAAAAAATACTTATACTGATTTCAAAAAATTGTTTTGTTATTTTCCATAGTTAGGAAGTTGAAGTTTTTTTTGAGTTGAGTTCTTAAAAATAAATGTACATACACTCGTACAGTAACAAATGACTGATATATCCGAAAATTATTTTTATAAAATTCTGTTATTAGATTAAAATCAATTTTTCTAAGACAATGTATCAGTCAGTTTTTATGAATATTGATTTTATATAACTCATAAGAATAGATTTTTATAGAATTTCTTACTCAACCATTAGAGAAGTTTCAATTAAAATATATATTATTTGTAAATTATTATTATTTGTATATAATTATTATATATAAATATATATTGTGATATTTACAAACCCCTATATATATATATATATATATATACAAATGCGTGCGTATTTATACAGGAAGTGTAATCGCGATACAGCTAATAATGCATTACAAATAAGTATTACAAGGTGAAATACTTAGGAAATAGAAAATCAAAGATACATTTATAATATAAGTTACATAATCATGACGCTTATATAAAAAACGCTGAATTTAAATGTTACTATCGATTCCACTTATTATCTTCTACATAGAAAATAATGGCGGAAGTACAGAAAACATATGTTGTGGTCAACCACAACACCTTAACATATGTTTTCTGTACTTCCGCCATTGCTCTATATTGATCGTAATTCAAAAAACTAACTATTTCTTAATGTTTAATTTAAAGAGGAAGATGCAGTTACGCATATTTCCAAGTGTATCCTGTTTCCTAACATTTCTTCTAATAGCTATCTTTTAAAATCAAATCCTAAGTAGCACACTGCAAAGCGTTAAACAGCATTAAAAACAAAATGTATATAAGCACACCATAGAAAATGTAGAAAGATGTGTAGAATCACGTATGTAATTCGTAATAAGTATATTATACTTTATACTTTATAGAAACAACATAAAAGAAATTTTGTAAGGTAAAATAATCACTTTCGTATCATGAGATTTTTTAATGGTATGTGTATGGAAGGATAACGGAAGTGAATCATTACCATCTAGATACATAGTATGGGCAACTAAATAACAATCATATGATATCAATTGTATCAACCTAAACATTCTGGATTTCTCTAAACAGTCAATGACCTATGATACCCCTATGATGACGTGACTCATGGTGTCTAGGTCTCCCCTATACTTTTATAGTTGCATATAATACTTATGCAGTATGTAATATTGCGGTAATAACTTGAAGAAAAAGAAGGACTTCCTGTGTGGAAAGTCGTATGCCCCTAGGTAAGGATACCTAAAGTAGTTTTTAATATTGTATACGGTAGTAATAAGATATTATCTTTTAAATTTTATTTGTCGATAACTTTTGACAACCATCTATATAAAATCTAAAAAAATATAATGTTTTTGTCTCGGTAATCTAATTGGCTAGGATATTTGCGCGTAAAGCGAGTGATCTGGGTTCGACTCTTGGTAATATTTTTATATATTATTAATATCCCGCCGAGGTAATATTTTTCGCAATAAGAATTATTATTTTCAGATTTTAACGTGCTTATAGATCGATTTTAATTTTTGTGTACTTTTTCATATAAATAAAATATAAAAATTTTCCGAAAGTCCTAAAGGAAAAAGGCATTTGAAAGTTTGTCCCAGTAAAGATTTTTAATTAGCTTGAAGTAAGCCCTCTACAAAATATTAAAATTAGAAACAATTCGATGAGAAAGACACATTTTCTATAAGATTTATGTGGGATTCTTTCTGATAACAATTAGAAAACATGTTTTAATTTGTACGATGACGTTATATTTAGAACAACTTTAGCTTTCAAGAAATATACAAACTTCCAGAAATTTAATTATAATAATGTAACAATGATTTCTTATGCTATAAAGTGATACAGTTATGTATATTCTTGCTATTTAAATAGCTCTGACTAGAGCTTGGATCATTCAATTTAAAGAATCCTTAGGATAAGTAATAGAAGTCTACTTCCCTACTTTTGAACACAGTCGAATTAAAATTGATAAATTACATATATAGATGCTTCGATAAGCAACATTTTGCACAGAAACATATGTTACAAAATCATGTTATTTATATATTATATATATATTACTATGTATTTACACTCAATTATCTTTCTTCATTCGGTTCGACGTCATCCTATAAATGATAGAGTCTCGTCCTGGATCCATATTGGCAATGGCGACTAAAAGTATAAAATAAGCGTAATGCGTTCCCAATTTTGGTACATACTGTATACAGGATGTAATAAAAAGATCGGGACACTAAATAATCGCAGAAAGATGATTTTTCGAAAAAAAATGTTTGATACAACAATTGTAAGGTACTAAGTTACCTATCATATGATATTGATTTGACTTTGAATAATCTTGGAAACGTTACATCAAGATCATCTTGAGTTTTTTTTTTTAAAGAAACTCTCATTTTTATCATAAATTCTTGTAGTTGACTTTTTTAAAACCATATAACGCAAAAAAAGTTTAAATACCGATTTAAACATGACAAACACGAGCATTAACATTATCCAAAGTGCACCACGCGAAAGTCGCACAGTACTTAACTTTATCGGTGCATATTTCAAATAATTTTTGGCCAAATGGAACTTAATTATATTGTTTTAAAAAGATCTCGTCATCGACTACAAAAATTTACAATAAAAATAGGGGGTTTCCTTTAAGGGGTTTCCATTTAAAAAAGTCAAGATGACCTTGTGACATTTCCAAGATCATTCAAGATTAAATCGTTAGTGCCATATGATGAGTAAACTTGGTATTCTACAACCTTTTGTATAAAAAATTTTTTCTGGAAACGTCATCTTTTCAGATAATCCAGTGCTAAGTGTCTCGACCTTTTTACATTCTATATATGTACTTATGTAGATAAATATAAATTATATGTAAACTATACATGTATAGATATCTAATTAAATCTATACATATATATGTATAGATATATACAGAGTGCATCAAATTTAAATGGTCAAACTTTGGGAGCATGTAGGGAATCGATAAATTAAGAAGTCTTTTAAAGACATATTTATTTTTTTAATTATGTTTTGTCTTTTTTGTCATTTTCTCCAAAACAAAATGAAAACGAGTATGGCTTTAAAGAACTTATTTTCTTAGTTTATAAATCCTTACGCGCTCCCGAAGTTTGATCATTTAAATTCGAGACACCATATATATCCAAAATATATATGTACATATATATAAATTATACAAATTAATATCCTGCAAAAGAAGTTAACCAGATTAATAAAAGTCACTCAAATCAAAGAAATTAAAAATTTCTGATTTTAAATAACGATCAGAATACTTTGAAAATTTTTGTCATACAAAATAATTTCAAGCTAAATACAATCTTATATTTAGGAAAATACATACTACAAATAGCTAAGAGTGAGAAGACGAAAACCACGCCGAACCATAGTATTATGTTGAATATGACAGGATAGTTTTCCGTGTAAACCTTCGCACGGCCAGAAAATTCAGGCTGAAACAGAAAGATCGTTGTAACAGAGAGACAGATACAATTTCTGAAATCTACGAAATCTCAATTCTGCGAATGTCTCTCTCTCTCTCTTACACACAGCACACGCACGCACACGCATACTGTTTTCTCTCTCTCTTTGTAATATTTCTTAAATTTAAACTAATAGCACTCTACATTTCTTAACATCTCCGTACGAACAAGATTAAAAATTCAGCGTATTTAGAAATGCATAAAAAATACCAAAGGTTTTCAGAACTGACATACAAAATAAGTTTAGCTCACAAAATGAGATCTGCTTTCAATATTTGTTAAACAACTAATTGGTTGGCTAAATCTTCCTTAATAAAAATTAGCCATCAAAAGTTCATATTACTTATAGATTTACCATAATTAAAATATGCATGCAATTGGACATGATAAGCCTTCATGCAGATTATAATCCTGCACTTGAGAAGCATGAGACAGAAAGCTCGAAACTGTCGACATATTTATATGCGATCAAATTTAAGGTAATTGATTCAGAAGAAGTAACTTCTTGAATTTATATCATTTTTACTTCTCAAGTGCAAAATTTTAGATACTTGTTATCTAAAATTTACCGCTTAGTTAAAATCGGAAAGAGGAAATCCTGCCAGAAATGGCAGAATTCTGGTTTTTTTTCCGATGTCATCATATATAATTAAGCATCATTCACATTAATTGACATCTACAGCAATCCAATGCAATGCAAAAGAAAGCAGTGTATATAATTAAATCTTACTAGCGATTAAAACTGAATTAGATAAGTGTTGAAGATATCTTGTTAATACTGTTTAATTCTACTGGAGTACTTGATAAACATTAAATTAATTATTCATCTTTTTAGAACTCAGGTGCGCTAATATTCTGGCAAAGTTTGGCAGAATTAAAATAACTGAAGGACCTAGGAAAAGAAAGTGACTTGATAAGTCACATTTTGTGACATTTCTCTAGGCGCATAAATTTTGAAATTTTATTATTTAATATAGCTTTCTTAAAATAATAAATTTATTTAAGTATTTTAACATCTGAATAAAAGACTTGTTTTTCATCGTATTTATTAAGTTTTATTCTGATGTTTACAATAAACTTTCTTTTATACAATTTTTTAATATAAAATTTACTTCCTTTTTCATCCATATTATATTAATTTTGAGAAATTATTAAAAAATTAGCAAATATTCTCTTATTGTATACTCATACAATAACATCAGACCGAAGAAATTGAGGAAAAAAGGACTTATCTAGTTTTTTCCTAGATCCCATCGATTGCGATGCATGTTAATATGTTTGCGATACCTGTCCTATTGTCTGTGTATTAGTATTTATCTTATACTCCTTATTAACTCCGTCGGACTTTTCCGACGTTCCGCTATTATCCTGAACGCCCGTACGTTCAGTAGTGCTGTCGACAGTGTTGGACTCGATAGTACTACTCATTCTATATTTCTCCTCTTCGTCCATTTTATTATTTTGCTCATCTTGCTCGCCGGCTCGCTACAATCAGTGTTGTTCGGTATCTGAATAAAGTGATTAAAGCAAGCCCAGTCCTCAAGACTCCAAAGATACTAGAACTTGAAGGACTTAAGTTTGCTATGTATACATTGATTTATCGATTGAGTTTTCTCGAAAATTCTATTTGTTTGTACAGATCTCTCGATTTATTTCAAGGATTTGGCTGTGATATTCAGCTCATATTAAACTTTGAATCAAAGATACTAATTCAAAGACCAACTATTTAAATTCATCAATGGCAATTTACTAATAGCAATTCATCGAGCTTCAAATGTTATCAAGGATATCAGAATGTTAAAGATTTAGCGAGTGTATCCTTATTTAAGTTTTGTTAAAGTTTACTTAAAGAAAATATCAATAAGAAAAGAAGACGATGGATATATATTGGCGACAAGTTTGTAAGTTTTGTTGATTGGAATAATTAAAAAGTAATTCGTCGTGTTCGCGAATTCATGCAAAAAGCTATCTCTAATTTGGAAAAAACACTCTCAATCAAATAATAGCCCATGCAATGTGATTCGACACGGTACCTTGATGAAAAAATTATCGTTAATGTCTGAACTAATTGGCGCTCCTTTGGCAGTGGATTTAACATTTTTAGTCTTATCAGCCTACAAAATATTCCGTCACAATTAAAAATGGTACAAACGAAGAATAAGATAATTTCAAGCAAATTAACACGCCGTAATTCTAAGCTCAATAGTTCTGAATAATTGAAGTAAAGTTAAATATTGCTTAAATCAATTTAATGATCTTTTCCGTCTTTTCGGTTATCTTCCGGTACGGAGAATAAATTTTGATTAATTAGTGTTTAATAAAAAGCATGTAGATATACTTACTTAGTAAACCGGTTGCAAAATTAGTTATATAACATTATATATTACTTTGTATCACACAAATATTATATTACATATTGTATCAAATACAAGGGTGTTCCAAACCTATCACATTATCTATTATATTAAATAGGAAACTTTGAGCGCAAAGTACTATGTGCGGTATTCTTCTTTGCTGATTTTATTGTAAATTTTATTTTAACATTAAAAGTCTGGTAACCTTTTTTTTTATTTTATAATATTATTTTATTGAAAATAATTTGATAAAAAATAAATAAACTGGAAATTTTAATAATATTTTCATGTTTGATACAATACACATCTCAATAATAATCAAATAAAATAACAAAAATTTTTTTCAAAGAATTATATCCATGAACATTAAGATAATCGAGTTTGTCATAAATGAGAATTTTCAATTATATCGTACTGTATAATTATTATAATTTTGATATTAATATAATTATCATATTCTTTAATTATAATATTTTCAAATATATATTTCTTTCTTCAATCATTATTTTCAAAAAATTTCAAATAATTCTGTTTAAAACACATCACATTACAAAATTTACATAAGATACTCACCGGGGTATCTCTGCGCTTTCTCTCAAGAACGGAGCGTGCATTCCTCGCTTTCCAAGCATCGTTTGTGAAAGATGCAATGACAATCTGTAACAAATATTGAAGTATTCTGAATACGTAATTATACTCATTGTATAACAAACTATACATAAATAGATTAAAAATAGAGGTTTTTAATAATTGATTACATTTGCAGATAAAATGAATAAATTTGTGCACCTTGCCATCATAAGTGTTTACAAAGCCCTTGGAAACATGTTCTATCACGCGATTTAACAACTTGTACGCCTCCTCCTTAACTGTAGAATTGTTTTCATGCCGATCCCAGAGTGATCTCAATGTCGATACTATCAACCAATAAACATCTGTACCAGAATCGTGCTTCTTCGCAGAAAATGCATTGTCACCAATAGCACACAGAAGCTGCATCTCCTCGACAAATTTACGATCTTCTTCAATCTCCAAATTCAGAAAATCCAACTTCTCCATTTTAGTAGGCTTAAGCTCGCCAAGAGCTGACTGACCGAGCTGTATTAGAAACATCTTATTTAGTGTCTAGGATCTTCAATAATAAAAACTCAAATTACTAAAACAATTTTTGTTTTTATGTGATACTGTTTTAGAACTGTCAATCTGTCTATTTAATACTTACAGCATCAACTCCATCGCTCAAGTTAATCCTAACCAACGTGTTGTCATTGCTTCGTTCCTCCACTCTGCTTCTAATCGCTTGCCAACAGGTTTCTTCTCCTTCATCAGAAATCAGAGGATATGTAGCTTCTGCATTGTCTTTTAAGTAAGGCAGTTTTTCTACTCCTTCAAAGACTATAGCAACCAATGCTTTGGGCAATGAAAACGGATTCGATATGATAATGTTATATTCTGAATCTCTCTGCAAGGTCACAAAAGTTTCTGTCACAATGAATAACTTCAAATACAACTAGTCTATTCTTGTTATCAAAACTTTTTTCTCCAACGTAGAAAAAGAAAGAGTGAGTAGGGAAGAGAGGGGGAGAGGAAGAGAAAAAGAGGGGGGGAGAGAGAGAGAGAGAGAGAAGAAAATAAATAAGACAATGTAAAGGGCAAATCCGAGAGTCGTCACTAAATATAATTAAGAAATCAATAATACATTAAAAAAGTTGGAAATACAATTAAAACAATTCAAATTGCGTACATAACATGTTTCAGCTCTTGGATTGAACCTTCTTCAGAGGTAAAAAAATCGTAGTGATGTGGTAGAATTGTAATGTATTCGTGTGTTGCGATGTTAAGAGAGAAGAAAGATGAGCAAAAAGTTTAATTAAAACAGATTTTGCAAGAAAAGTAAAAGATCTGTTAATGTTGCTTGAAATCTCTACAAATTTTTGAACTTAAAATGAGATATATATTTAAGTGTCAAAAAGAGAAAAAGCAAAGTACAAAGCTGAGTATAAAAAGTATAAATAATCTAAACAAACCATTATGTTCATATTGGTAGTTAGGTCTAATATTTAAAGCTTCCTCAAGTCTATTTTTAGATACTCTACGAATTATTTTATTAGTTACTGAGCATCTAAAGAATAATTTAGAGGAGCCTTAAGTATACTAGATACTTGTAATTGTAAACTTCAAGGAATAAACTTAAAAAAATTTGTTTATTCTAGCTTTACTTGATGTTATAAAAAAAGTTTTCTGGTATATCCAAAAAATTGAACAATTCTATGAAGAGATGATATACCTGCTTTCCAGGAGTATAACCAAGAACCATCGACAAAATCTCCTTGAGACTACTCTGTTCAATTTCTCCATTTTTAGTGAATTGTATGCTGTCTGGTGCATGTAGAATGAGGAATTCGCCATTGGCATGAACTAGAAAAGCAAGCACCAGGATAATTAAATTGCAAGGACGATACAAGTATGGAGGCTTGCTATCAGTGAAGCAAAGAGCTTAGCAAATTTAAAATTTCAAGAAAAGATCTTTGCTCTAAAATACAATTAAATTTAAATATTCCGAACATTTAATACAATTTTCCACAAAATATCTTGAAAAATGGATTGACTTCTGCTAGAATATGATTGCAAAAAAACTCGAAGTAATCTATTCGTTCTGGAAAAGATTTCTCATAAATGAATGGAGAATTACCTGCGGCAAGGATAGCGAAGAATACAGATAATTGTGGAAACATCATTGAATGCAAAAATGATTAAATTCGAAAGCTCCTTCCTCGGTGTCGGTCAAAGTTGATCAATTTCAGACGCGATCATGTGATCACGTCAGATAACATACAATATACAAGTCTGTTCTTTTCCCATCCCAAATGTCGGACTCGCTTTGTGGAGTATATTGGAGCACGCGACACGAACAAACCTTTTGGAAGCGACGAGCGATATCCAATGAGAGCTCTATTTTTTTTCACGTGACGACGCAAAGCAAAGAGCCGAACTACACTATATGCGCTACACATAAGTGTAGCTGCTGGGTGTAGCAAGGTCACTTACCACGCGACTTGCGCTCAGCATCTCGTGACTAATCGATCACTTGCGTTGCGTTACTGGTTACCGTAATTGTCACGTATGGTTCCACCTATGAGCGCAGTTGCAGGTAGACGATAACGGAGATCGAGTGTCTGTCAGCCGATGCTCCTGGAATAAGATTTACTTGATTGTCACGCGGCAAGTTACTTTCGACAACCACCAAAATGGGCTCGCTTTTTCGCAGCGAGGAGATGACTTTATGTCAGCTGTTCCTCCAGAGTGAAGCCGCATACGCTTGTGTCTCCGAGCTTGGCGAGCTCGGTTTGGTACAGTTTCGCGACGTAAGTATATAAATCACGTTCCTTATCATTTTCTCCTATCTTTAATGGTCCAATGATTTCGCATTCTTAGATGATTACTGTCGAGCTGGTTCTTATCATTGGGTGTTTTCCAGCGAGAACGCAGACACAGTGGCTGCGTTCAGCAGAAGAAGCAGTTTTGTACCTGTTATAAAATTCTTGAATGTAATTGCTTTAGGTCCAAATTCACATTTAACTGAGGTTAACTTATTTTTTATCTCTTTTTAATTCTAGAATTAGAAAGAGATGAAAAATAGGGTCCTTGAACTGTGACTTGTGAAACTGGATCTTATATATTTAGATTTAGTGAGGAACTAAGGATAAGAGCAATTATACTGAAGAATTTTACAACCATTGCAAAGTTGCGTTTCTCTGTTCTCTGAACGTAGCCAGTGTAACAGTGGATCATTACATCTTTGTTGTTTGTCTACATTAAATAAGGATGAAACGATTTACTGTGTTGCACAGTGGCTGTGTTTAGCATAGAAAATTATAATCAGTTTTGTAGCGCTTAGTAATTCTTTAATATGATTGCCAATTGTGTTAAAGAATCATTAAATGCTAAAACTAATTAGTTTTCTCTGTTGAATACAGCCAGTGTTTGTCCTTGCTGGAAAACGCCTATTATCATCATACTTTTGTCTAATTGTGTATATCTATCTCATTTTAGTTAAATCCTGACGTTAATGCTTTTCAACGGAAATTCGTCAATGAAGTACGGCGTTGTGATGAAATGGAGCGCAAACTGCGCTACCTGGAGAAGGAGATCAAGAAGGATGGTATCCCAATGTTGGACACCGGAGAGAACCCGGAGGCCCCCCAGCCCCGGGAGATGATCGATCTGGAAGCCACTTTCGAGAAATTGGAGAACGAGTTGCGGGAAGTAAATCTGAATGCTGAGGCGCTTAAGCGTAACTTTCTGGAACTAACTGAACTCAAGCACATTTTACGAAAGACTCAGGTTTTTTTTGACGAGGTAAGTCGCATCACCTAGATCCTTATTGCCTCTGTCTAATGATTTGGGACATATAAAAAAATCAGGCAAATTTACTTTTTGAAGTATTACCAATTACCAAAAGCAGGTCTACTTCCAGATCTGCTTATTAGAAAGGAAGAATGATGTCCATGGAATTGTAAAAAGTGGATGTATGTAGTTCTTAGTCTGTCGATTGTTTCTGTAAAATTTGAATGTGAATCTTGTCTGGGAACAACTATTTGCATTGGGTTGTAAATATCAGAAATGGTGTTGTCACTTGTGAATGTCGAGTCGATGGACATATAAGAATTCTTTTTCAATTGGATACTTTAGTTAATGCAAAGCGCAGTCATTTGTTTTGCTTTCAAGACACTTGCCAGGAATTTATTCTGCTCTGTTTACTACAGTTATAAATTTTTGCACAGAGAGGCAAGACGTTGCATTGTAAAAAGCAAGGTAAAAATGTTTAATGTTGCAATTTACAGCCTTATACTTGTTTGGCTTACATTTCCATAAATAGATTATTATGTAAATCCCGCGTCTTTTTTTTTTTTTCGGGATAGAGATTAGTATGAATACGCTTCAGTGTGAAACATATTATCACTTGAATGGGATTCCTTTGTAAATATGCTTAATGTTTCTAACGATATAAGTTATTTAGAAATAACATAAAGAAAATGTATAGTATTTTTATAAAAACTTGGAAGATCTTTGTGCGAGGAGATCTTGAAGTGACAATCTTGTAATATTTTATAAAAAATGAAAGTCGAATTATCAATTGAAGAATAACTATACTTGAAAGAGAGAGACAGAGAGAGAGAGAGAGAGAGAGAGAGAGAGAGTGTGTGTGTGTGTGTGTGTATGTGTGTATGAGGGGGGGAGGGAGAGAGAGCAATGAGACTATGGACTGGACCAAATTTTCTCTAATGCATGAAAAGCTGGAGACTGTGTGAATTAGATATATCACAAAAGCCTGTCTTTGCATTTATGCAACTTTATGCGAATGCAACGGAGTTGCTCCGAAGCAAAATGAAATAAGACTAGAGATGAGAATAACCTCATGTGATAATTTACTCTATAAATTACGGTAAATGACTTAGCAATCTTAAAAAGGGCAAAATATTTTAGAAAAAATTACAGAGATAAAGTTTTGATATAAATCTTAAAAGAAACATTTAACCTTTAAGATGAATGAAATATTTATTTTACTCATCTACAAGTCCCAAAATTCTGTGACTCAAAATATTATAACAAGAAAGTTTTAAAAAAATGAACTAAAAAGGTTAGTTGTAAATTTTTATTTTATGCAGTAATTTTTTGAATAATAAAGGTTAAAATAGTTTATAGACTATTTACACATTTAAACCTTTATATCTTAAAACTATGGCTTAAAGTAATACCATCTTACCGTAATTTTACTATAAGTAGTTGTCACATATTGAATCTGTCGGTAATTTTATACCTCTAGATAAGACTGATAAAGAGTGGTGAATCTCTACCACTTCTAAGAATTGTCAGATATAAGAATGCCCTCGTTTTGTACTGTTACTAATCATATGTTGTTAAGTGATTTTAGGATTATTAATGTGTTAGTGTTACCAACTAACAAAAAGCCACTACTGCAAAGGACACAAGTTACTCGCTCTGCCCTGTCTCCCTTTACGTTCCTTGAGAGTTTTTCAGTATCGTTGCGATTTTCGTATGGATTCATATTATACATATTTAATTGTATTTGACGTTTCATCCTAGATTGGAAAAACTACTTGTTGGAACTTCACTTATATTATGTGTAGCAACCAAAAGAGACTGTATATTACTGTGGTTCTCTTTGTATCGACAGTGCCTTGACACCTCTGCACATGAACTGAGAATTACCTCGGATTAGTTCGTAAATGTATTTTTTTTAAATGCAACCGTTAATTATTATTGTTGTTTTACATAATATTCTAAAAATTCTTTACTTTTGTATTTAATATATCTTTCCTTCACACAAACACAATACATACAATATGTATATTCTCTCGTTTGAACTTTTACTGTGTCATTTTTTACTGTAACTTTTTTTTTATTTTAGTGTATTAATGTTACATATTTTTTATTTCTTTTCTTTCAATTTTGTTTCATTAATTTTAATTTTTCTTTTTTGCATAAAAGTAAAAATGTATTATAATTCGTGAAATGTATGTTTAGGAAAAGACATGTTTGCACGTGTTCACTTTACAGATACACCTTCATATGCAGCAATTATCTAGGAATTTTAAATAATTTTGTGATATCCATAATACTTCATAACAATAAAACACTACACAAAATTGTCGCTGAAATTAATGTAAGATAAAATTAGTAGAACTAAAAAAACTCCCATATGAACTAATTATGGGCACGAAGCATGAAGCTTTGCGCAATCAATAATAATTAATTGATGACAAGTTGCATGAATTGTACTAATATCTACAATATTAGATGAATTTGTTCAATATGCATTATTTAAAGGAAATTGTAGATTCATCAAATTCTTTAAAGGTTGTAATTTGCACTTTTCATGGAATGTACTCGTTTGATAACGTCAGATATTTGTAAAAATGTAAAATTTTTAATTTATAAAATTTGGATATTTTGAATAATCTTGTGAAAAATAAAGAAATCGATCCATGTTGCGACCTGAGATCGATAAGAGGTAGATCTTCAGTATATGAATCGAACATCCCTATTGTCTGGTATTATTATTAGAATTTTCTTCTTTTGTAGCAAAAATTTTAAATAATTACTATTTGAGTTTAATATATTCGTGTATTTAATTTTAATAGGAATTTAAAAACGTATTTTAAGAAAATAGTTACGACCTTTATTGAATTAACGAATGAAATTCTTTGCATGTAGCATGCATAGCACGATTGTAATCGTATATGAATATATGTTTCTTATGTAATTAATTTATAGTTATTGTAGCTATTATTTTTGCAATTAGTAGTCAGTAATATTTTGATTATAATTTTAGAACTAGAAAACTTAGGGTTGCACAAACTTTACACATTTCGTGATGCTTTTCTATTGAACTAAATTATTACATCTTTGTATTTCTTAAATTTTACATCTCAATTTTATACATTTAGTGTCTGATTTTGTGAATTTAAACTTTAGATTCTGAAAAATTGGATATCTAAGCATTAAATTCTTATTTTCATTTTGAAAGTCTCAAAACATTTAGCATGTTTAACATCTTGTGCGTTCAGGAAACTACTTTTGTGAAGCTTTTCAAATTTGATGGAATTTTCATTTAAATTCCTCATGACTTAAAATCTTTTAATGTAAAATATTTAAAACTTTATTTTTTCTCATTCTTTCATGACTAAGCGTTACGAATTTAAACTTATTGTTAAATCTAGCATTGAGCAAAATTACGCGACTTTATGAAAAGATCCCTTCTTCTTCTTCCTTTTCTTTTTTTTCTTCTTTTTCTTCTTCTTTGGTGAGTTGAAGA